ATCGTCTCGTGATAGTAAGGGAGATACTATACAATATCATCCTTATAACCTTTTCTCTCAAGTTAATTAGCAATATCAATGTTTCTTTTTTACTTACACACCATAAAATAGTTACCAACATAATATGATACATGTACTAACGTATACATCCTGTATAGTCTGTAATTATTTTTTACAGAATTTTAAATCTATTAACAAGATATTTCAAAAAGTGCATATATATATAATTTCCCCTTTCAAATGCAAAACTATTCTATGTGAAAAGAGTTGCATGAATTTGTATTCCTCTGTGAAGGAAAGTCTATTTAACCTGTAATTATCTCCCTTTGCAGAATTATTTTTTCCACATTTTTAGCAAAGGTAAGAGTGTGTGGTATCAAGATATATTGGAAGGAAAATTCACCAGGCAAAGTCAGCAATTAAAAAATGGATAAACACATGTACATCCATTAATAAAATAGAAATTATTGCCACAGAAATCACAGGAAAGTTATTCCAATGAACACGTCTGGACCGACTCCATGACTAGTGAAAAAAGCAGTTAGATCAGTTCAAATGATTACTCATTGCCAAGCAGGTACATGTACAAGAATAATAATCATAACATCATTGTAAAATAGTAATACTTTCTGTACAAACTAGAACAATATTTGAATCGATAGAAAAAACTTAAAGACATTTAAACAGTGCAGTATATTAGAAGATTACAGCTACCTGTGTAATATATACACAAAAAATGTAAAATACACATATTTTCTCACATTTAACAGAAACGATTTAAACCTTCAATGAGGCTAAATATTAATTACTTTATAACTTTTATGTACAGGTGATTTCATATCAAACTCACATCATTTTATGTAGATAAAAAGGGAAATACTAAACCAAGTTCAGACATTAATGTAAAAACAATATTTTTGGGGAAAGGCTTTTATTGAAACAATTTAATATTAAATTTTCCTGTCATGCTTTAAAAAGTTCATTTTTTCTCTTAATCAAATTTTGTCATTTCAAAAAATAAACAAATTTAATGTTGTTTGTGATATCAATACAGCTGAGTTAACAGACACAGAACGTGACAATTTATAATCCAAAACCAGAAAAACTGAATTAAGTGTAAGATGAACTAAGAAGAATACATAGTGAAAAAAGTTATAACTAGGTTTAATTTTAACTAAACATTTTTCAACAGGGTTATAACCAACAATGAATGGCACCGAGGGAGCCACGATAAAGTCATACTATAAAGCGAATGTTCTGTAACAGTGACCCTTGACCTTTGCATCTTCTTCTGATAATAAATTGTGGTCCAGAGAAAGGAAAGATTCTGTATGGACGGATGGGTGGACAAACACCTCAGCTTAGTGGATCATCAGACACAAGAAAAATGGCATACCATAATACAGTCCGTCGAAAAATAAATCATTTAATTAAAAAATCTTTATTTGAAGGGAATATAAGAGCATAATACTAAGAACAAATTTTAAGAGTCTGAACTTGGATTTTTTTATGCAGGAAATCAAGCATGGTACATAGTTAATACAAAAACAGGAAAAAAATAACCCCAATTTTTTCTAATAATTTATGAAATTTCTAGATTATGACATCATATGTATTAACACTATGGTAAAATCTTATTTACAAATATTGCAACATATCTATTTCTAAACATTTCTTTTGAAGATACACTGATCACAAGCTGAACATTTTCAGTTTTGTAAAATAGGGACGTCTGATTTCTTTCATAGGACTTCACACATTTTATCTAAATAACTTGACATACAATCTTGATATAAATTCACATAATCACAGATTTGTTTTATTTTATCAAAGCTTTTCAATGACTCGGATGGTTTCGTCAGAGCTTTTCACTAAACATTACATGTTTATCATGTTCATGCTCCGACACGTTATTTACATGGGATCCTTCTGAAGCGCTGTTCCCGTTTTGTGGCGAGTTCAAGCTATTTATACGTTTAATTTTAGTTAACTGGACAGGATTATCTCTTGCCTCACTTTGTTCGACCCGTTGTCGCATATTTAAGCCGCTGGTGATGAGCTCGCCAAAACCTTGTTGGTGGGCGAAGGCGTAGCCTGAGCGTAACGATCTTGTGCTGCGGCGCAGTGTCGACTGACGACGCATTGTGATGTCACCTGAGCGAGCCTTGGATTTGGACATGCGCTGTTTGAGTCGGGCTCGGTCACTAAGCGTGGGATGCATGTCGAGATAGTAGAAGCGGTATGCGATGACCGGGATAAGGAGGATCGTGATGGTGAGGAGTAGACAAAGCCAGAAATTGGCTGTGGAGTAGACCTGGTAGGCCACCCCCATATACGTGTAGTTGAACACGCTGGAGTACATGGTCAGAATGAAGCAGAAGTACAGGATCATGCTTCCCCATATCACAAAGTGGTTGAAGCCAGTCCAGTACGACGTATCCAGCGCACACTGTAATGTAATACCCATCATTAACACATATCTATCATACATACTATAAGGATTAGAGTTTTCTAATGTTCACGATTTTCACAGTAACAATTTTTTTATAAACAACTTAAGCCTTGACATAAATACATTATATTGGAAAATGTTTTGTCCTTTGATGGTAAAATCCTTTTTTCACCCAATATTGAATTCGCCCTTCTCATTTTGATTTCTGTGTATATTGCTATGCTGTGTCCTAATGTTCGTTTTAATGATAACTTCACCCTCATTATGGAGGACGAAAAAGGCAAATATTTAAAACTGCAGCAAAAATTTCTTAGTATAAAGTAATATTCCATAGTTACAGCAGAACAGTGAACTATGGCCACTGGACATGACATCCATGAAAACCAGATCCAACACAATTTACTATTTAACAATGTCTGCGAAAAAAAGAAACAGCGAAAAGAAAGACCTATCTTTAAATAAATTGAGCACTGTTGATGCTCTAATCGGTTAACCCTTTCACCCCTATGTTACTTTAGTAGACTCTACCTTACATTAATATGGATGAGTCCATTATGGTCTACAGTGGTGAAAGGATTAACTACTATATCTAAACAAGCGATACTTAATCAGAATTATTATGTCATTCCGATAAAATCACCTTTTTACAGCATACAAACTTACCCGTAGGTTGACAGCGACCACCAGTATGGACGCGACTACAACCCCAAATGACTGATGGTCGACGAGGTCCGTGCCCCAGGGGTTGGTCGCCCAGTAGAACGTCCCGTAGGGGATGAAAAATAATATAAGGGATGTGATGAACCCTTCCATCACGCCTAACAGGAAAATCTTCTTATTGAACAGCATGTCTCTAAGGCCTGGCGTGTACAACTTGGGGTAGCGCAGCGAGTAAGTCTCATTCACGTCCTGTAATTGATAAATTTGTCATCACCTTGTCGTCATCTGACAATCTAACTTATGTTACTGAGAAAATCAGGAAAATGTACTTTTCGGACAATAAAACATCTTGGTCATAGGACATTCTACCTGTAAGGAATTACAGCTTACTGGTGTCATTTTTTATCACAACCTTTGCATCCTTGTGTTATTTGTACAGGGACATATTTACAAAATTAGAACAGATTGTTTTTTTAGTTGTTTTTATTTTGGGCTGAAATCAGGTTGAAAGAGAAGGTTTAATCAGTGGTTTTTGAGTCAAAACTATGCTAACCATTGTTCTACATAATTTATAATGCGAACTATACAAAATGTCTAACCAGTCATTTAGGAGAAAAATATAGGTCACAGTGACCTACTTTTAATATACTGGTGCAGTACTCCTCAAAATTTTTCAATATGATGTTCGATGACTGCTAGACATCTAGTATTGGAGTAATGAAGCTAAAAGCCAAGTTTAATCAAAATGTCATTCATAAGAAATGATGGATTAACAGTAAAAGGCACACACTTATTGTCCCATCAAGGATGTTGTGGGGGTACACAGACTGATTTTTGGAAAACATGATATTATCTGGAATGTGATATTAGGTGGAATCTACTGCACTACGTAAAACAAACAAATGTACTTACCTGGTCAAACGCCGCCATGAAGAGACACGGCATTGAGGTATAGAACAGGTTGTAGAAGGAAATGAAGTAGGGATCAAACAAAGTCTGAAAAATAAACATAATTAGAGTTAAACCTAAGTCTGAAAAATAAACATAATTAGAGATAAACC